CTATTAGACAGTTAAGAGTCCAAATACTTTTGTACACGTACGAAGAGTTTTTGTTGGTTAGTCAGCTTGTTTTCCAAGCTATGTCACTTGGGTCGGCTATTAAAGCCTAGGGTGTGCATCATGTAAGACAGGTTATATTTTGATAATAAACACGATGTGTTTTTAGGGTAATACCCGTATCGAGTTTTGGGGGAAGCTGTCTAAAAATCCCTAAGTTTTGGAGGAAACTTTAGAAAACCTCTGTGTTGCCATTTCTCTGTGAGGAAATTGTTTTGTGCGTGAGTACCATCATCAAGATTGGTTTTCTCGTGCTGAGCCGCAAGGTTCAAACCCTCTATTTCGTGTACATCGCGTGCGCGGGCGAGAGGTTACTGCTGCTGGTGGTGGTGTGTCGTGAAAGGTCGGGCCGCAACAACAGATCGGATCTCGCCATCGAGGTTCGGTTTTTATCAACTGCCATGCCGGTCCATATGCTACTCGCGCTAGCTCTCAACCCCCCAATCCTAAAAAAAATTCAACAGGCTGATCCGTCACTTCTTATGGCGCAACAAAGACGCACACACTGGATCTTGCATCGTATCCTGGCAAAAGGTTTGCCAGCCCCTGGAGCTTGGTGGGCTCGCCATCCGTGATCTTCACCACATCGGCGTCGCGTTGCGAAAGCGCTGGCTGTGCTCTCGGCCACCGACCCCGAGCGCGTTTGGAAGCACCTCCACCTGCCCTCCGTCCACGAAGTTTTTGAACTTTTTCGGGCATCTACTTCGTGCACACTTGGAGATGGCAACACATGCAGATCCTGACGCAACCATTGGCTCCAAGGGCAGTCCATATCTGAGGTTGCGCCAACCCTGCTAACTCATATCCCTCGCCAATGCCGGAACAAGAGGCTCGTCCGCGAGGCCCTCATGGACCGTCGTTGGATCGTGGATATCCATGGCAATCTTAGCCCCACGACAATCCTCAAGTATGTGGATCTCTGGAGGCGTCTCCAAATGATCACTCTCTCTAGCGAGCCGGACATGCTCTCCTGGAAGTGGACTGCTCACGACACTTACACCGCGAGTTCCGCCTATCATGCGCAGTTTATCGATGCTACTTCCTCACCCCACTGGCGCCTCATTTGGAAATCTTGGGCCTCCTACCAACGCAAAGATCTTCCTATGGCTGGCCTCCCTCGATCGTTGATGGACTGCCGAGCGTCGAGCAAGGCACAACCTACCACATGACCCCATCTGCAAGCTGTGCGATCAAGAGTATGAAACCTACACCATCTGCTTGTGGGATGTGTCTTCTCCCGCACAATATGGCACGAGATCTTGGCCTAGTGCCGCATGACCGTGCAACCCCAGGACGGCACGCTCAACTTCTTCGAGTGGTGGACGACCGCCACATCTACCGCGCCGACTTGCCTTCGAAAAGGTCTCTGCACTTTAATCACCCTCACGGCTTGGGCTATTTGGAAGCACCGGAATGTGGCGATCTTCGACGCCGCCACCCCATCTTCCACCAAGCTCACCGACGACATCAAGCAAGAAGCGGCGTTATGGTTTAGGGCCGGCGCCAAAGGTCTAGACAAAACAGTCCCTATAATCCGAACCTTCCCTTGTAAAGGCTGAGCAACCTTCCTTGCTCAACTTAGCGCCTTCGAGGTCGCCATTCGTGTGTACGGCACCGAAGGACGCCGATCTATAACTTCTTTCCCCCAACCTATTAATGGAATGATACGCTACCTTAGCGTACTCGGGGAAAAAAAGTTTGCATATAAGTTTTGTCCGAAGTCAAAGTATCTCAACTTTGACCAAATTTATAGAAAAAAGTATCAAGATTCACAATGCCAAATCACTATCGTTGGATTCATTATGAATATATAGTTTCATTATATATATATATATATATATATATATATATATATATATATATATATATATAGTAAAGCTAAACTAAATACACTATGTAAATTTAGTAATTTTCGTAAAAATGTAGTAAATTATAAACTTAGGTAGTAAAAAAATATTTTCCTAATCACTATATTTTATACATCCTTTTATTAGATTTTGTATATAACGTTACTAGGGGGTGTTATATATATATATGGTATTTATTAATATAAATTTGGTCAAACTTTGTAAAGTTTGACTTCACACAAATTTAATAAACGGAGTAAAAAGGACCGGAGGGAGTACTATATAAAATATGAAACTACCTAGTTTTCCTTTGATAAATAATCACTGTTCACATCTATTTCTATGCTTATCGAGAAAGATGGATTATTTTCACATGGAACCGCCCAATGAGTTGTTGCACGTTTTCGTCGTACTGAAACACAGACGAATGATGGAATAATATATTGCTGACAAATTTATTCTGGAATAAGTTGAGAAACACCATGGATGGTCGGTTTTTCTTACAATAATGGTTTAGTCGCATCAATTAGACCAGCGTAGACTTTGAATGAACAAGAACTTATTTAAAATCTTCATAACACAATACAAGAAATATTTTAGTGTTACATTATAGCGTTAGAGCATCTCTGGCAGACCCCGTATATCGCTGACCCGCAAAACTCGTTTACAGTTTACGAAAAAACGGTTTTGCGGGCCGGCGCGGTCACCAGCAGAGCAGACCCTGCATAGTGGAACTGTAAAAGGAATATCCGTGGGCCTACAAAACAGATGAATTTGGCACATATGCCATATATTCAGAATTATTAATTCAATATAAGATAAAATGTCAGTATTACAATACAACAATCATCCAAATTACAATTATTATTGAAATCACAGAAGCAAACTACAATTCAATACAAAACTTGTCCCGAATACAAATCACACATGAATTAAATGAAATGAATGCAAAAATGGAATGTGTTAACTGCCCAGCCCTTTGGCAATGGTGCTCAATGAGATCCTCCTGAAGGTGGAAGTGGGTGTTTGCATTTTCAATCTCCCTGTAGGTCCAAAGAAATGCTCTAACGCGGTTAGGGTCTCTGACTGGTTTGACACGGCTACCCATATTGTCGTAGAAGAACTCCAATTTCATGGGTCTCTCATCTTTGAGAATCATATTGTGAAGAATAACACAACATGTCATGATATTTTTCAAGGATCGCTTGTCCAAAAAACGAGCAGGTCCACGAACAATGGCAAACCTAGATTGCAAAACTCCGAATGCTCTTTCAATATCTTTTCGGGCTGCTTCTTGTACCCTTGAAATTCACATTGTTTCCTAGTTTTGGGGCCTTTGATGCTCTTGACAAATGTGCACAAAGAAGGGTAGATACCATCTGCAAGATAGTACCCCTTTGTGTATTCATGCCCATTGATAGTGTAGTCGCAAGCAGGAGCATCACCACTAGCAAGCCTATCAAACAAATGAGACCGTTGCAACACATTGATATCATTGAGAGTACCCGACATACCAAAAAAGCAATGCAAAATCCATAAATCCTCGGATGCTACGGCCTCTAGCACAATTGTTGCATCACGAGACTTTCCACAATACATTCCCTGCCATGCTTTCGGGCAGTTTTTCCAAGTCCAATGCATACAATCAATGTTTCCTAGCATGCTAGGCCAACCTCTTCTCTCACTTGATGCCATCAACTTTTTTGTGTCTTCCTCGCTGGGTGCCCGAAGATATTCAGGACTAAAGACACAGATGATCACTTTCACAAACCTACGCACCGACTCAATGGTAGTATCTTCACCAATGTGAAGGTACTCATCGACATAGTCAGCCGGAACGCCGTATGCAATTACCTGCATAGCTGCCAAGATTTTTTGATATGCACTAAATTCCTTCAAGCCCGCGTTATTTCTTCTTTGAGTAAAATACCGACAATTGGCCTCGCAAGCTTGCACTATTTTTACAAAGAGGGATCGGCGCATTCAGTACCTTTTCCGAAAGAGTTGCGGTGGATATGTTGGATTGTCCGCGAAATAGTCTTGCATCAACATCTCGTTCCTGAGATGGCGATTTCGAGGAATGCAAAGACGGCCGACGATCGATCCTCGCCGTCTCTTTCGGTTCTCATCTTCGTGCTCCTTCACCGCGAGGGCCAACAACAACATCTGCTGCCGATGGTTCACAAGCAGCGTCTCAACATCCGAGTCGTCCGAATCGGACGAATCCTCGAGCAAAAACCTCTCGCAAGGGCTCACTTCCATCTAAATTCACAAATACGAACGCCGCATAAGCCAACTATGCATAGCTGCGCATCCCAAAAGCACAAGCACAAGTACTCAACAGCGGCTCGGGGCGGTGACTCTGCGGCGGTGGATCCCGGGGCGGCTCGGCTCGGCGAATCCGGGGCAGCGGTGAAGTGGCTAGGTGGAACAGGGTGAGGGGCGGCCCCGCGGCGTGATTACTTCCACAGATTTGGCCGGAATCGCCGGCGGCAGCTGAGCGGAACCAATGACGGCCGACCACGGAAGAGGGTGGGGAATGAGCGTGGGCTGAAATGTCCCTCCCGCCAACCGCTTTTCTGGGATACGGGGCACCGTCGGGCCGAGGGAAAAAACTGCGTTTTCGCGGGTTGGAGATGGGATTTTACCGCGCCCCTCAAAAAAATTTACGGGTGCAACACGTTTGCATTGTCTAATCGGGAAGCATTTTTCACGTGGACCCGTATTTTGACGGTTATTTTGCGGGTCGGGACATTATACGGGATCTGGTAGAGATGCTCTTACGAGGCCTTAGACAAAGTAAGTGTATCGTACTTTATTGGTAAAAAATATCCAACCATTTCTCTCCACTTGCTTACTTATTTTTTTTCTTTTCTAAACAACCTTCTGCAAAAAACAAAAAAACAAAACAGGAGAATCCCAAGACAAATGTTTTCCTTGGTCTACATGCATATACATGGGCATCTAGCCACCAGATGTGGGGAACAATTACCTCGTCCATTCATTCCACTACACACCCGAAAAACAAAGGGAGGATAGAAAGGGGGAAAGGAAAACAAAGCCAATGCAACAGTCACCTCTCCCACTCCTTGATGGATGCTATTTAGCCATGCCCTTTCCCAGGACCAAACTCTGCCACTTTGTTCGGTTCTGCCCCCCTTTTGCTCGCCTTACCCCTTGGTTCCACCCTTCTTCACTCCCCTCCTCACTTGCACCAACACTAATAAGCACTCTCACTTCCCTGTGACCTCTCTCCATTCTCCTCACTCCACAGCCATGGCGTCTGCTGAAGAAGGCGCACAGCCGCTCATGTATCAGGTATGCAGTTTAGGATTCTTCTTGATTAGCAGATACGTAGTACAAGATATCATCATCTTTGTTTGTCTATTTTGTTTGGTTTTGGTTTCTTATCACTGCAAGATTCTGATGAGGTTTAATTCCATGGTTTGGGCTTTGCTGCTCTTCTTCAGACTGTGGCTCTGAAGGTCAGCATCCACTGTGAGGGCTGCAAGAAGAAGGTCAAGAAGGTGCTACAGACCATAGAAGGTGGGCATAGATAAATAAAGAAGAAAAATATAATACTTAGATGAAGAAGAAGAGAAATACAAAGCAGAAATGTTCAGCAAATCTGTATCAGTAAATCTTAGGAAAGCTCCCTAGAAATGCAGTGGTAGTGTCATTACATTTTTCTCTCTGTTTTCCAATCAGGATTTCAAAAGTTTATTTCTCCGTATTTCCTTCTTTCTGCGAAAAGGCTTTGATTTCAACTTCAGGTCTGTAAATAAAAGGGCATCTGGCTGTTTAAAGAATTGCAAGTGATGTTTTATGTGTGTGCCCCTGTATTTACTATGAAGGGGAAAAGCAGAGGGGCCCCTGTTTCCCTCACTAAATCCCTTGCCCCAAAGTTCTGCAATCTGTTACAAATTCTTCACAAAAAAAAAAGCATTGAATTGGTGGAAGAAATGCTTAGTAAGGGATTTAGAAGAGCGTTTTGCTAATTTCGTTGCGCTGTTTGCATCAACTGAGCAGGTGTGTACAAGACGGACATAGACACCCAGCAGCACAAGGTAGTGGTCGTTGGCAATGTCTCCGTCGACGCGCTCGTCAAGAAGCTCATCAAGACCGGCAAGCACGCCGAGCCGTGGCCGGAGCCCCTTCCTCCCCCCTCTGACGCTAACCCGCCTGCCAGCGGAGGCGGCGGTGATGGTGGCGGTGGCGGCAAGAAGAAGAAGAAAAAGAAGAACAAAAACAAGACCGCCGAGCCGGCGGCGCCGGGTGCCCCGACGGCGGAAGGCGCTGGAGGCTCTGTTCCCCCGAAGAATCACGACCACACGGGCACGTGCGATGAGGCGTCCGACCACGAGCAGCCTCATCAGGTTGAAGGCGGCGGTGGTGGAGGCGGCGACCCACCGAAGAACCCGGGTGCCGGAGATCCGCACGACGGACGGGCCGGCATGGTCGCCCCTTTCGCCATGACGCCGCAAGGCATGCAGCCTATGGCACCCAGCGCCAATGCCTCCGGTGGCGGCGGTGGCGGCAAGAAGAAAAAGAAGGGCAAGGGAGGCAATAACGGCAATGCCAATGCCAACGGCGGAGACGGTGCAACAGCGCAGATGAGCCCACACGACGCGCCCGCGAATCCCGCCATAGGAAACGCCGGTCAGAACGCCCCCGCCGTCGTCGACGCCGGGGCCTACCCGCCCGCCACCGCGATGAGCTACCCGGGCTACTACGGCAGCGGCGCCGGTGCAGGGCACATGCCGCCACCGTACGCCATGAGCTACAGCACCTCGCACCCGCACCGGAGCAGCGCGTACTACCACCCCATGGCCGGCGCGGCCTACACGGGCGGCGCGGGGTACTACTACTCAACGGCACCGGTGTCGGCGGCGCCGGGGTCGTATTACATGTTCAGCGAGGAGAATGCCAACGCATGCAGCGTTATGTGAGATTGTTTGTTATTTAATTGAGGTTAGATGATTAATGAACTGGTCCCTTGTAATTTAAGCATCTTTAGAGCATCTCCAACTGCCGCGCCAAAAGACGCGCGCGGGTAAAATGCTCATTTAACGCGTGCGGCGCGCTCCAGAGCTGGCGGAAAACAACCGTGAGCGGTAAAGGTTTGCGCGCGCGGGAGAAAGCTGACGGTCGCGCAGTAGATTTGGCGCGCGCGGCGCTCGTCACGTGCTCTACCACACCGCCACACGCGCATTTCCCCGCCTCCTCGCCGCTTCCACCACTTTCTCGCCACTTCCTCGCCGCTCAGCGCCCCACCACCACCGCGCCACCATGCCGCCGCGCCGCCGGGGATCATCTGGCTACCGCGGCGTCCGCCTGCGCCCCTCTGGCGCCTACTACGCCGAGATCCGGTCCAGCGACGTCCGCCTCGGCCTCGGCACGTTCGAGACCGCGCACGAGGCCGCCCGCGCGTACGACGTGGCGGCGTGGTGCCTAGGGAGGTCTCGAGCGCAGTTGAACTTCCACGACGTCTACACGCGCGAGCAGGCGCAGCGCGTCGCCCCTCTGCCTCGTCTGATTACAGACCAGGACCGTGAGGACCACCATCGGCTGCAGCGCCGCCTCCTCATCGCCGAGGAGGACGAGCGAGCCATGGCGGAGCGGCGCCAGCGGCACCCGGAGGACGTCGCCGCCTAGAACGTCTTCTGGGCGGAGAGCATAGCAAGACGCCGTGCGGAGCGTGCCGACAGGCGTCGGCGCAAGGCACTGGCCATATCGCAGTGTGATATCGTCGAGGCAGGCGGGACGTCGATCTTCTCCCCCGACGATGACCGTTGGGACGACATGTGGCTCGATACCTCGGACAACACCACCGAGGATGATGATGATGAGGACGGCTGAGGGTAGATTCTAGTTGCACCCTAGTTTTATCTAGTTGCATCGTAGTTTTTTTTATCTAGTTGCACCGTAGTTCTTTATCTATCTATGCTATGAACTATGTAAAATATCTTTATATCGTTTTTTATCTATGCTATGAACTATGTATCTTTTTTATCTATGAACAAAATATGTATGCACCGAAAAAAGTGTTTGTGGGAGACCGCACGCTGCATTTTAGCGCGCCTGCTGGAGCTACACGCGCGCCCTGCAGTTTAGCGCGGCTGCTGAAGCCAGCGCTGCGCGCCGCGCTAAACCTGATGATGGGTGTGCCGCAAACTAGTTTTTAGCGCGCCGCGCGTTGGGCGGCCGTCAGAGATGCTCTTAGCTAGTGTTAGTATGGTCATCTTGCTGTTGTAAGCTGCAACATTCTTGGAGCTTGCTTGTATTGCAACCTATTCATGGCATGACAATTGGCTGTGTCGACCAAATTGCTGGTCAATGTTGCGAGTTGATGGAAATTTTGGCATTGAACATTGACTTTGGCAATTTGAGATGGGATTTTTAGTGGCATCTGAAGGTAGGGGAGAAAAAGAGTATTTAATCAAAAACTACCACAATTGACGGAAACGTGACGAAAAACTACCACTTTACGTTTTTGTGCGAAAAACTACCAAATTTGGACTAAACCGTGGCAAAAAACTACCAACTCGTGAAATCGCTCGCTTCGCCTGCGCTAACCCCGAATCTGACCGGTTGGGCCCGCGAATCAGGCGCCACGTTGGCTAACGGTCGCCCGCCGCGCGTAGATGGCCGTTAACGGCCCGTCCGCTGTCGGAACGGCGCCTGTCAGTGCGGTGCGGGTCAAATCTGATCCGTTCCCCTCTCGATTCACTCTCTCCCTCCTCTCCCTCTCTCTGACCTAGGTGGCGGCCGCCATGTCCTCGTTGATTCCGGAGGGCGGCGGCGACGCTGGCGGCGAGACAAGTTTGGACGCTGCTGCCTCGCCCGCGCCTCCACCGATGGCCAGCGGCTCAGTCGATAATTGGTTGGGGAGCACCAGTTTCTCGATGCAGGCCGGCTCGCAGCAGCCGGAGGCACCGCTCTCCCAGTCATCGCCAATGGGTCGCAGGTATGCAAGTATCATCTGCTGGGCTTTTGGTTAGCTGCTTCAACATTGCAAATTAGTAAGATGTGTTTGTTTCTGTTAGTTGGACATGTGTAGTAAACTGGAGTCAGTAAACTGTATAGCTCAGTCAATTTCAATTCAATTCATGAGCACTTATTTGTGCAGTTTGGCTGACCAGAAGTGGGATATATGGTTTCATTTAGAAGGAAGAAACCCTGTGAAAAGGGGTATATTTGAGTCAGATATTTCTTTGCTTACTCTACAATCACTCATTGCTAGTGAAGGGTATGGGGACAGTGATTACATGTACTATGTGAAGGAGGAGGAAATTGGATCTGACAGAGTAAAGTATTTAGGTAATGAAGCTAGTGTTCATGAAATGTTGGACTTTTTTCATCATGTCAAGCTAGTCAACATAAGGGTTGTGAGAAATGTTGAACCTGGAATTAGTACACAGGCTAATGAGAATTACATGAACACTCAAGAGAGCTGCTGTGTGAAAAAGGTTGTGGAGCAATCTGAGCTTCAGAATCAGATAGATGATAGAAAGGCTCAGCTTGAGAGGAGCAGGATTCAAAGAGGCAGATTTGAACCACTTTGAAGGAGACACTGAAGTGTCTGAATTTTGTTCTGAGGATTCAGTTCATTCAGATGGGAGTGCTGAAGCTGTTCAACCAATGGAAATAGTGTGTGTCTCTGAAGAGGATACAACATTGCAAACTACTGCTATTGTCAAACATGTGAAGAATCCTGGTCCAACTAGCAGATGTCACAAAGAGGTAGAGAAAAAACGTTTTGAAGATTGGTTTCCTGAAGCAGATGAGTTTTGTTTTGCTGGTGATGCAGGCATAAGTAATGAGGAAGAAGTAGATGATGTTGAACTACCATACCTCATGAAGAAGCCAAACACAAAGAGTAGTAAGAAAAAGATGAAGGAAAGGCTATATTTTGACCCCTCAATTCCCAATTCACATTTACTCTTGTGCAAGAACTTGTGTTTTGATAGTGTTTACCAGTTCAGAGAAGCATTAAGAGATTTTCATATAAGGACTTTGAGGTCTTTTCACTACCACAGGAACACTCCAACAAGAATTATTGTTTGGTGTTCACAAAGAGAGCATGGATGTGAATTTTACATGTGTGCCTCTAGGATAGCTCATGAAAGAACATTTTGCATTAAGAAATGTAACATGGAGCACATTTGTCCAGCATCAGCAGAGAACACAAAGGTTACTACTAAGTGGCTTTCCAAAGCAGTTGAGCCTTCTCTTAGAGCAGATCCTAGAGCACCTGTGGATTCACTTATTAAAAACAGCAAAGTCAAGTTTTCAGTTGATGTATCAAAGAGTGTGGCCTATAGGGCAAGGAGGAAGGCTATTAAGGTTGTACAAGGTGACCAGAAGGAGCAGTACTATAGACTGAGGGACTACCTACAAGCAGTTCTTGACACAAACCCTGGTAGCAGGTGTGTAGTTACAACATTTGAGGACCCAGAAAACCCTGCCCCAACACCTAGATTTAAGTACATGTTCTACTGCTTGCATGCATCAAAGCAAGGATTTCTTAATGGTTGCAGGCCCTTTATAGGTAAATCTATAACTGCAATTTGTTCAAAATATCTTGTTGTAAATCTATGGTAGCTAATTTGGGTATTTATTGCAGGGCTTGATGGTTGCTTCATCAAGCTAACCACTGGACAACAAATACTTGCAGCCACAGGAAGAGATGGCAACAACAACATCTACCCCATAGCCTTTGGTGTGGTTGATAAGGAAGATTCAGATAGTTGGACATGGTTCCTAACACAGCTAAGATGTTGCATTGGAAGTGGTAGCAAATTTGGAACCTACACCATTATTTCTGACAGGCAAAAGGTATGCACCCTATCTTAGCCACTAGTTCAGATATATATTGTTATTAGTAGCTTTATTTCCTTTTGTTCATAACCATGGTTGTTAATTTACAATCAGGGTCTTCTTAAGGCTATAAATGAGGTGTTCCCTGATTCCTCTCAGAGATACTGCCTCAGGCACATATATGCAAATTTTCAGTCAGCTGGTTTCAGAGGAGCAGAGCTGAAGAAGCTAGTAGATCAGGCTAGCTACTCATTCACCAAACATGGCCATGAATTAACAATGGCAGAGCTTAAAGCAGAGTGTGAGGATGCCTGGAAGTGGCTTAAAAAAATTCCAAGGGAGACTTGGTGTAGGTCTGCAATGGATTACAATTGCAAAACTGATCTTGTTGTCAACAACCTTAGTGAGGTTTTCAACAAAATGATCCTTGATGTTAGGGCCAAACCAATTAGGACTATGTTTGAAGGAATTAGGACTAAGCAGATGATCAAAAGGCAGAAGACTAGGGAAAAAAACAGAGAACAGCAGGTGGATGATCACAACCAACTATTCAGAGAAATTAGGAGAATAAGAAGTATGCCAAATTTTGTGATGCATATAAGGCAGGTCCTGACATTTGGCAAGTTAATAGTAAGGAAAATCAGTACTGTGTGAACCTAGCTACTCAATCATGTGACTGCAGGAGGTGGGACATGACAGGTGTGACATGCAGTCATGCAATAGCAGTAATGAGCAAGATTCACATGCACCTAGAGGACTATGTGCATGAATTTTTCAAAAAAGCACTATATATTGAAGCATACAAAGACATAGTGTACCCTGTCCCTGGTCCTGAATTCTGGCCTGACATCCATACTCCTGATATTGAGCCCCCAGTGTTCAAAGAAAAAGCAGGCAAGAAACAGACAGCTAGGAGAAAGGGGCAGTTTGAGGTGCCTGCTCCAAAGGACACAAGCAGGATGGGAACAATTGCAGCAATTGTGGTCTACAAGGCCACAGATATACAAACTGTGGGAAAGCTCTAAAACCTAGTCTTGAGATGAGAAAGAACTTACACCAGGTCATTCAAAAATGATGCATTCTTTGTTTAATTATTTTAGTTCTGGTCTATTTACTAACTGATTTAATT